AGCTGTTGTTCACCATCTTAGCTGTAGAGGGCGCAGCATCACTGGCCCTAATGTGGGATCCCAACTGGGGCCCCGCTGCTCAGAGCTGGCGTCCCAAGCCAACTCCTAACCAATGCGCCACTCAGCCGGCTATAGTTTTAGTTTTATTTTCATTTTCAATTTTACTTCAGAGCGTGTTGCCCGCAAGCCGCAGTTTGCTGGCCCCTGGAGGCTCTTCCATCTCAAAAGTTTGCTGACCTCCTGGCCTATTTCATCCAAAAAAGCATTACATTTTAGTCAGGACACCTGCATCTAAGTGTCAATCTGCCATTGCCTCACTGTGTGGCCCTTGGCCAGCCATTCCCCCTCTCTGGGCCTCATTCTCCTCAGCAAGGAGAGAAAGGGTCCAGAGGGATGTCCAAGGATCTCTAGGGTTCCTATTCTGGGATCTGACAGCCCCAAGGTCAAGGGTAGGAACTTCTTTGGAGATTGTCATTTCAAGAAGGAAAACAGCCTGAGGCTGGTTAGTCTGTAGCTTCAGGGTACACCAGAATCAGCTGGGGAGTCTCCCTTCTCCATTTAGCAGGTCTGGGATGCAGCCCAGGAATCTGCATTTTAAAACCACTGTCCAGGGCAATTCTGATGTGGAGATGGTGAGGATCATACTCACTTCTGCTGACAGAATGGCTGCTAAGTAAAAGTTCAAACTTTTTTCTGGTAGAGATTTTTTGAGGCAGAGAGTCTATTGTTTTTGAGTGTGTGTGTGTGTGCGCGCGCGCGCGTGCGTGCGTGCGTGCATGCGTGCGTGTGTGTGTGTGTGTGTGTGTGTTATTACCAAGGTGGCTGCTGGCCTGGGGTATTGGGGGTTGGAGAGGAAGAGGAGTAGAAGGAGACTAACATTCTGCATTTATTCTCAGGAGCAGTAGTGGAGTCTGTTACTACAACAGGGAAGAAAATAAAGCCATTGACACGGGAGCTCAGAGGCTAACAGAGCTAGAGAGAGCAGGTCCACATTGGAGGCGGGGAACGAAGAGGGTCTGAAGGGAGTCAGCAAGGGGCAGCTAACGCAGA